GTCCCTTAGTTCTTCAAGTTGAGTGTTAGTGTTGTCTGCTTTATCTGCGAATGCTAGCCACATTTGTAATATGTACAGGCTAGATATAAAACAGTATTTTCTTGTCACACAGCTCCTCACTGAAGATGGCACAAGAACCGTACCCAACCAGAAAGTGCGAGATTGCCCCATTTATGTGATAGTTGTCGATCAGCGCTATATGAATTGTACTTAAAGACCAACAACTTTAATTTACAATATTTTTTCTTGGCGTTTTCCTTGCTTTTAAACTAATTTAGTTTGTTTGTAAATTAATTTATTTAGTATTTAAACTAATTCGATTATTTTTTCAATGCATTTTTGACTCTTTTGCTTGAATAAAAGCTTGATCACGCAATTCGTCATGTCTAGTAAGGATTTTATGACTTTTCATAGCTCCGATTGCGCATTTTGTCCCATTTGAGTAGGTAATGGGGCAGAAAATTATTGCCAAAGGTCCTTCAAGTTAATTATACAACTTTTTACATTGTTATGGTAATTCCTCATAAGTCTGGGTTCCATAAATGTCCCGGGACAATGGCGACTCTGGAAAGGCGAATCGCCCAACTGACAATTATATTAGCCGAGATCTGAAAGACGAGCACTTATTAAGCTCATATAAACATACTCGTTCTTCTTAGCCATCCTGGATATTATACGGTCACGAATCGAACGGTAAGTTCAAGAGGTGCCGGATAGTTTTAATCCCTACGGGAACTCGGTTGTCAACAGTACTGGATATGTCGTGCTTCGACGGTACCTTAGCTTTTCCTTATCAAAAATCCCGAATGGGGTTGAAAACCCGGCAGTAAATTCATCGACACTGTTTCTTCCTCGGATAATATATTACCGTCCAAGCGTTTATTGCTCACATAGTTGCATGGATAGTTTACGTCAGCGGTTTATTGGCAGGTATGTCCTTGTTAGCAAAGGCTCACTTGTTCCATACATACGGTATTATGTTGTCGATAAAATACGTTTCGTCTTGCAGACAAGATATTTTAATGAAATACCCTTTTTACGCATATTCCTATGGACATTCAACATGTTAAATTATTCAATTTAAAACACAAAGCGTCTATTATTCTCAAAAGATTTCTCAGATCTTCAATATATTATCAACTTAAACCAGTTTAAAAAAAATGTTTAATGTCCGTTCATAAAAAGCATAGAATTCATATTTCATTTTATTATATCCATATTTATGAATCCATGGAAGATTGAAAAGAAAAAACCTGTTGCGTAAAAACTCAATATGGCAAATAGGAAAATAAATCCGGAAGAGACAGATAGAACTCTTCTCTTTCAAAAGGGCTCATATATATGCCAGTTGTAGAGTAAAATACTAAAGTATCCTTATTTATAACTTTCGTAGAAAACTTCAATACAAACTTAAAAATAAACAGAACAAACATTACAAAATATCTATCTACAAGGTGTCCTTTTTAGATGCCCCGGCTGAATTTCTTTTGCACCAATGACTCTATAAAAAAATATATATATATTTATTCTCTTATATATATACAGGGTGAATTGCTACTCGTGCTACAAACTTCTCCAGTAGATTCTTCACCCTAAAATGAACAAAAAAGTTCATATTGTCCATNAATGGTTGAGAATCGGACCATGGACAATATGAACTTTTTTGTTCATTTTAGGGTGAAGAATCTACTGGAGAAGTTTGTAGCACGAGTAGCAATTCACCCTGTATATATATATATTAAATTTTCTACCTTTTTTTGGAAAAAATTAAACGGGTACCTCAGTCCCAGTTTAACTTCAAAATTTAAATACTAAAACACTAAAAACTAAATTCAAATATGACCCATCCTTACACATCATTTGAAAGGATTTTTTGCGCTAAAAACAATGTGTGGAGTTTAGAGACCGTTAGCTAATGATTATTTGGCTGAAAACAATTATGCAATCGGATTTAAAATTGGTCAAAAAATGACAAAGTTATGGCAAAAAGTTTGTAAAAAATGGCATTTGATTTACTACTTATTAATTACATTTCATGCTCGAACTGCATCCTTTGCGTGGAGATGCCAAGATTTGTTATTTTTAATCACTTTTCACCAGTGCTCAGGGCGATAGAGTGAGGGGGAGATGCATTGACAAGCATTTTTTATTTAAATGCGTTTTTTCAAAATTTATGCAATAACGTTTTCATTTTTGGACATATTTAAAATCCTATTGTACCATTGTTTTCAGCGTAAAAATTCTTTAAAGTTGAATACGTGTTACAATTTTTTAATCTAGTTTCAAATTTTTTCCTTTTTTTGGAGAAAAATAATAAGAGTACCTTAGGCCAGTTCAATTTCAAATACGACCCAATACATCCTGGCAAATCATTTGGAAGGATTTTTTACACTGAAAACATGGTGCAATCAGATTAAAATTGGTCAAAAAATGACAAAATTATGGTAAAAAGTTCGATCAAGCGTATTAGAAAAAAAAACCTATCTGCGGATTTATTTATGATGGAATGTCGAGTATCCACTGTCATACCAAAGTAGTCTAGATTGTTTAGTTTTTTCATATATTTTCGTATCAAAAACTCTGATGATTACCCGATTTATTTGCGTGAGTGGTTAATTTTGTATGGACACGGTCTGTGTGGATTATCGTGTACCAATAGATCTGTCGCAACACTTAGGTATGCTGAATATAGTGAAATCGTGATTATTTTCTGTGCATGAATGTATCTAGTGGTGTGAACGAAGGCGAAAGACATCTTGCGTCCTCCCAACCGTAAATTTAGGTTGTGCATAATTTTGATTTACAATTTGCTGAAGGAGATAGGGCTATGCAGTATATCCAGAATTAATGACCCGACAAACTTAGATTACAAGATCGTCTTATTAGTACGATTTCAATTGGCTTAAGATATTTTAGTCAAGTGTGGAAGGGCTATTACATGAGTGGGAAGGTTGTGTTTTTATTATATTTATATTTTTATCTTTCACTCATAAAGGCCCTGGGGTAGAGAGAGGCTGGGCTACAGAATAAAGAAACAAGGGTCAGTTTAACATCCAAAGCCTAGACTTGAATATAACCTGACTGCAGCGTCAGAAAAATCAATTAGAATAGTAAAATGCGAAAAAGAAAAAATAGTGCAGTTTTCCCGCCCTAAAAATATCCACAACACATTATTACAGGTATTAATATATTTCTGCCCTTCAGGAAATAATCAAAGCCCTGCTTATAAGTATTTTAATTGGTAGAAAGCTCGACTTTTCTTGTTGGTATACCCCTAATTTTTGTATTTTTGAATATAATCCTTTTCTTTCTGATTCATCGGTGAACCTGATGATTTCAGAAAAGAAATGAATAAGATAATTCTAAGATTGGTTGTCAACTTAATTGTCATTGGTGATCTTATGGATGGTGATATTAATTATTGCTTATTCGAGTTCGAGCTTTTGGCATACAGGAAGATAAGAACTGATAATTTTGTGCCTCAGTGTCCACGAATTTTTCATAATAATCAATTCGGTACTGAATATACATAGTAGACTAGAGCAGTGTTTACGTGTTCGACTTCTTTTCTAGTAAGTAAATTCTTCTGATTCTAAAGTAATCAGATTCTTTTAAACTCAACTTTAAATTTTCATTTAATAAATGAATAACAAACTCTTCTTGTTACCAATAGCTGCGGAATTATTTTTGACCATTGACCCCATTATAACAAAAATATTAAACAATAAACAGTTTAAGTTTTTATTTTTGTGTGAACTAGAATAAAACGTATTTGTTTGTAGGGAAAGGAGAAAATTATTGAAATATGGAACGTATTACAATAAATATTGTAAATCAATAAGGAAAGAAGCTTTTTAAAACGCTAAGGTTGAAAGTAAAAGGTGTGCAATTGTAAAAGTGCCAAGAAAAAAAAATTAATTAGCTAAAGTAACATATGTAAAATCGTTAAACACGCTTTTTATCGGCCTTTAAGCCTTATATAATAAAACATCATTTAAATGGTAAAAAGAGGCCGAACAAGTTTAAATCTGGAGAAAAATCTATCTGGAACGACTTACTTGCTTATATGATTACGCTCGGATGTGATTAATTACGGTTTAAGCACAGTAATTCCTAGGACGACAAAAAATTAATACAAGCTACATCTTGGAAGTGCAGGAGAAAAAAAGGCTTTGAATTCAGCATGTTTGATTAATTTAATCCCATTGCTTATTGCGGTATTAGCCTATGGAAGAAGTGTCTGGAGATTTTCTGATAGAAGGACGCTCAGCCAGGAGAGAACCAGTAGCTTAATACCTTAAATTATATCAACACCGGGTCCTCAAAAGGTTATACCTGTGATATATTTCTGTTGGGTATTTGAAGGGCGAGGCGTGTATTTATTGTTATAAGTATGATTAATGCACCTTCGGGGATGCTGAAGTGGGCAGGCCGCTTGATCCGTGTAATAAACTTGTCTCTTTCGCCACGGGCGGGGTGGAAGGATAGAAATAATGGGAATGCGGATTTGATGAAATTTTTTACTGAATTGTACTAAAAACGATTAACTATGGTATCCTATTTTATGCTTATAGTTGGTGGAAAGCACCAAGAAAAGTCCTAAACGAGTTGTTGTAAAGAAGGTAAATTTTGAGTAATGGTGTAAGAAGAAGCCGTGGTTATGGTCAGAAAAACTGGCTAACAGCTTGTATTAAGACATCCGTTAATGGCACAGATTAAGAATGTTGAGCTTCAGATAAATAATGAGGCTAGAATGTCGGCTAGACTCCAGGATGACCTCTAGAAATGTGGAGAACCTGCAGTTAGATACAATGTAGTCCAATCAAGACCTCGGCAAATCAGTGCCGTTTTCTGAACGTCAACCGCATTTCTCACACATATCGTTCCTCTGAGACAGAGTACAAATCAATCTCAGGTTATTTTTTCCTTTGTAACTTTCTTTTTCTTTGAATAATTCAAATTTCAATCGAATTAACTGTTTTTTTTTTTTTTGGTTTCAGGAAGGAGAGATGAGGAGGGCGGAGAAAGAGAAGTAGGTAGGATGTGGCGTGCAGTGCTAGCTATTTTGCTAGCGCTCCTTGCGCGGGGCTCTTTAGCAGAGCAGGTGAGAGAGCTGCAAGTTCCCGAAGGAGCTCCGACGGGGACGAGAGTCGGGTTTATATGGGACGGTACCTCCAGTTCGACAAGTCCCCCTTACCTCATCGTCTCGGTCCCGGGTAGTGCGGTAGACTCGGATTTGGACGTAGAGGAAGAGACTGGGGAAATCAGGACAAAAGTCCAGCTAGACCGAGAGACGAGGACATCTTATTCTCTCGTCGCGATATCGAGAGGTGGCGGCAACGTCAGGGTCGTGGTCAGAGTATTGGACGAGAACGACAACGCTCCCACTTTCCCCAGCCCCGTTATGGAAATAGAGTTCCCGGAGAATACTCCCAGGGACGTCAAGAGGACTCTGAACCCCGCGAGGGATCTTGATCTCGATGTCTTTAACACGCAGAGGTATAACATCATCTCCGGGAATCTGAACAACGCCTTCCGCCTATCGTCCCACCGAGAAAAGGACGGGGTCTTGTACTTAGACCTGCAGATCAACGGATTTCTCGACAGAGAGACGACCTCCGAATACAGCCTTGTCATACAAGCGCTGGACGGTGGCAACCCTCCACTCAGTGGGTCTATGACAGTGAATATAACTATACAAGACGTCAACGATAACCAGCCCATCTTCAACCAAAGCAGGTACTTCGCCACCGTCCCTGAGAACGCTACTGTTGGCACTAGTATCTTACAGGTGTTTGCCACAGATACCGATGCCGGCGAAAATGGAGAAGTGGAGTACTCCATAAACAGGAGGCAGAGCGACAGGGACGGGATGTTCAGGATAGACCCTAAAACGGGTCTCATCGCGGTCAACAGACCGCTGGACTTCGAAACGAAAGAAGTTCACGAACTCGTAGTAGTAGCCAAAGATCACGGGGCACAGCCTCTCGAAACTACAGCTTTCGTTTCAATAACCGTAACCGACGTCAACGACAACCAGCCGACAATAAACGTCATCTTTCTCAGCGATGATGCGACACCAAAGATATCCGAAAGGGCTGAGAAAGGCGAATTCGTCGCAAGGATCTCCGTCAACGATCCTGACTCTAAGACTGAATACTCCAACGTCAACGTGACGCTGGAAGGAGGCGAAGACCGTTTCGGACTGAAAAAACAGGATAATTTAATTTATTTAGTCATAGTCTCGATGCCGATCGATCGAGAACTAAAATCCAACTACACGCTTAGCGTCATAGCCACCGACACGGGCACGCCGCCGTTGCACGCATCCCGAACGTTCCACCTTCGGGTGACAGACGTCAACGACAATTCGCCCGAGTTCAGCCAGTCGGTCTATCACGCCAACGTCCTGGAGGTCGCGGACCCAGGGACTTCCGTCTTCCAAATCACCGCCACTGACAAAGACGAAGGCGAAAATTCTGTCATTTCCTACAAGATGTTCGAAGACAACAAGTCCCATCCGCCTTGGTTCCAGATCGACCACAAAACCGGACTCATAACCACGAAATCCCATATTGACTGCGAAACGGACCCTGTGCCGCGGGTGATCGTCGTCGCCACAGACAACGGAAACCCTCCTCTCTCATCTTCAGCGACTGTGCTCGTCACCATTCACGACGTCAACGACAACGAACCTATCTTCGAAATGAGCTTCTACAACGGCACCGTTCAAGAAAATCAAGCCCAAGGACACTGCTTTTTAAAGGTATTTAAATATATTTTACTTACAAATAATATATAAACTTTAAAAATTCCACTATTAGGCTTATAACAACTCGGTTAGTCATACTTATAATAAAATAGTGAAAGAAGTAAAACATCAATCATATATTATAAAAAATATCATTTATATTTTCAATTCATTCATTCATAAATTACTATCATATATGATTATTCAGAAAACATTAAAGCAGGGGTGCTCAAACTTGAACTGCTGGCGATCTACCTCAATATTTTTAGACTACTTACGATCGACTCTGAGAGGCTGCAAGTGTGTGTGATGCAGGGTTGTCGTACATACACGATACACCCTACCTACCTAGGTAGGGTGTACCGTAGCATATATAGATATTAGCTTTCTGCACAATATAGGTACATTATTTTAGTCAAGGTTTGGGTTAGGTTTAGTTAGGTTCTTCTCTACAATATCAATGAAAAAACTCATAGTTATTTATTTTTCTTCTCGAGATCTACTCAAAAAGCACTCGCGATCGACTGGTCGATCGCGATCGACCGTTTGAGCACCCCTGCATTAAAGCTAATTGTAAGTTATATTCAAATTCCGGTTTAATTAGTTTGTCCAGTCAGGAATTCATAGGCAATTACATCATCGTGTTCAGGGCGTTATGAGAGAACGTTACTCAGACACCTGGGCTTCTAAAATCCATCTGACAACGTGATTTCAAGTGCCCCTGAGCTTTGGGCGGCAAAGCACATAGGCAACATAGAAATTCGATTCGTCCTAAGCAGTTTTTTAATCATTAGATGTTACCTCCTCGTCGATAGAATGCAAGGATTGCTTGCGTGAATATAGCTTTCTCCGTCAAATTAACCCTTTTTAATTTCAAAGTTGACCGTTTTTCCCGTCATAATAACCCGTTTTAATTACAAATAATCATTTTTTACCTTCAAATTAACCCTTTTAAATTTCAAATTTAACCATTTTTCGCGTCAAATTAACCCTTTTCAGTTGCATCGCCTTTTACCTTCAAATTAACCTTTTTTAATTTCAAATGAAAATTTCTTATTATGTTCAAATTAACCATTTTTAATTTCAGATAAACTTCCTTTTACCTTCAAATAAGCCCTTGTTAATTTAAAATTATCCATTTTTAACTGCATATTAACTTAATTTTAGTTTCAAACTAAAAAGAAAAACCCTAGGAGATAGTATGAAATGTAAATCAGATAAAGTCAAATTACCACAATTGAGAAAAATAAATATATAATAATTGAGCTCTGAAGAGACCACATGAAAATTAATTACAATTAAAATTTTAAGTTACTATACATATATAATATTAAATGTAAAAACAAATTATTCTTATGTTAATTTGAACAATGTGAAATAATGGCGTTTTTAAAAACAACAATTTCTCACAGTTCTTAAATGAAAAAAAAAAAGCTTTTATTTTTATATGATTTTTAATTTTAATTTATTTTCATAATGTTTTTAAGTGCCCAATTATCTTATATTTACAAACTATCTCCAATTACAAGAAGAATACTTTGTTTTTATATTTAATTTTATGTAATTTAAAATTCTAGTTTTAAATAAGTTCATTTGGTCTTCTAAGAGCGCAATTTTTTAAATTTAAAATTTAATATTTATTTCATACAATCTTTTAAGTATTTTTAATGTTTTAAAGAAAGAGTTAATTTGAGGATAAAAAGTGTAATTTCAAACTAATCCTTTCTTTAAATCATCAAAAATTTGCAATTAAAAATATATGCATTTGAAAAGAAAATAATTAATTCCTAATAAATAAAAAAGGTTTCATTTGAAGTTAGAGTGAGGTAATTTGATGGGAAAAGGGTTCATATGAAATACAAAAGTTAATTTATTCATTTTTTGTTAAAGAGTTCATTTTTAAATTAAAAAAGTTTAATTTCATGGATAAAATCTCGAATATTCAATAATAATGGCAATTCAACAACAATACGTTTTTTAAGATATACCTTGAAAACTATGTATTCTGTTTGAAAAAGTTTAAGATTACATTATTATATTAATGGACTTGGCAAACTTTGTTTAACCTATTTATTGGTAAATGTAAATTAACGCTTCATTTCTTAATTGATTGACTAATTTGAACATTTACTTGTTGCAAATATTGTATGTACTTTTCTTACTTATTCCTTTTATTTTTGTACTCCTACGTGGTACTTTTATTCTCGTAAAAATGTATCTATCTTTTCAATCTCCTGACCTTGCAGTGATGCATTTACGTAACGCCATTTTTACTCGTAAATTTGAAAAATAGTAATAAAGTAAATACGACGTCGCAATAATAATTTAGTTCCTTTCCTGGCTGTAATGGATTCCGACTCGCCTTGTTAGTACAGAAGGGAAAGGTTATAAGCTTTAAGTGTTTGTACGGTGTTGCAGAAGTTCAAATCATACAGAAGGACGCCTACAAGACCAAAAAAAATCTGGGCACCAGGGCGGCTGGGTCTGCTCCGTCGCTTCCATCACGTCTCACCTCGGCCATACTCTTAAGCTCAGCCGGATTTTTTTTTCCGGCACCTTACCCGGTCGCATGATTACAGATTTCAGGACTTGGACGTTATTCAATCCTCACAGAAAATTACATTTTGCACTTTCTTTGGCTTATGTTTAAACGTCTTCTTATATCCTTTTTTTTAATGACTGGTAACAACAGATCATTAATGAGATATGTCTGCACGAATATAAATTTACCAACCACAAAAGCGATATATGGAAACATATGCTTCCTGTTTAGACCGCAATTAATTATGTTAGGCCGATAGCAAACGAAGAGGAATAAGTGTATCGAAACCGCAAGACAAATATAAAGGGCTATTTTGGGCCATATGTTGATTCGTCTGCATTTTTTTCTAGAGTCCAAAAAGAATCATTGATTGCATGTCAATACTTTTAGGCAACACGCGATGATAGAAACGACTTGCGGTCTGAATACAATAATAGTATAATATTTAATGTTACAATACAATTAACAATTAATAAATGCATTGCTGGATAAGGATTATTATTATTATTATTATTATTATTATTATTAATTTTTAAGGGCGTTTTAACGGCTAAGGTCATTTCACGCCCTAACATCCAAACCTTCTATCTTAGGTTAGCTATATCTCTTCTGAGTGCTATAAAGCTCTGACTCCAAACATTCACTCGNCTTGCCCAACCCTGAAACCAGGTTTCTAGAGAGATTCAGGCCCCACACTTCCCAACACTTCCCAATAGGGAATGCGAGCTACAAACTAGCACCCAGCAGACTTGTCTAATCGTCCAAAAAAATTATCCAGTTGAACTCACCTCACCAAAAAACACTTCAAAAAACGCTGGGCTGACAAAGGGACGTCCTAGCTTCCACAACACACCACTGTCATACACTTATTAAACCAATATACCTCAAAACTTCGGTTTTTTCTCGGAGCGGAAATTCTTGTTTGTTACACGTTTTATAGTCAGGTGATCTCTCCCAGGATTATTATTATTATTAAGATTGTTTTTTTGCATGTACAAACAAAAATCTATACTCCTCAGGGTTATGAATGATGGACTGACGATATTATTTATTTTTAAAAAAATTTTAGACGGTAGAAATGCATTTTAAAATACCTAAACATACTAGCAAGTTATATATATCTAAAAAACTCAGGGATAAGGCAAATTTGAATTAAAGAAAAAACTCATATCATTCGTCAAGCTTTCAAGAAATCCCCTTCACCAAGTCTTTGAAACTATTACTAATAATTTAAACGTTTAACAGGTATAAATATCTATTTGTAATACTCGAAACTACGGCTTCGACTACTGTACATTTATGAATTATTCTTTGAAGAGTGAAGATCTACACCCGTCCATTCTGCATTATGACTAAAAACTTCACTCTGGTTTTCTTATCACCGCCAGCACTTCTGTCATTTTTTTCAATCAAAATTATTAATATATTTAATCAAAAATAAAAATTAAAAATTAGAATTTGTAGTATCAGCCAGTCGATCAGATCGATCTTAACTATTTCCTCATAATAGAGTCGCCATAGAATAAATTTGTGTAAAAATAGTTTTTAATTTTTAATTTTGATTGAATATTTTATACTCTAGGAGAGTGAATGTGATCAGGCTTCTATGTAAGTATCGTATGTTTATGTTAATTTATTGGAATGAAAGTAATTTATTAGCGTGAAAGGAAGGGGTTGTTTTACCCAGCCTCGAAGAATTTCGAGTACTCTGTATGAATGATTGAAACAATAAAAAAAATTAACTATGTAAAAATTAGACATAAATGAATACATAAGAGTAGGTGAGTGAGAGAGAGAGAAAGAGAGAGAGGGAGAGAGAGAGAGAAAAAAGGAAAGACAGAGAAAAGAGAGAGAAAGAAAGGGAAAGAGATGCTGACTAAAGGATTAAATAAATTTGTTGAGATAAGTTAAAAATTATACACCTGAAAGTTAGATAAATATATAGATCGATGTGTAACAACAAAAGAGAGAGGGAGAGAGAGAGAGAGAGAGAGAGAGAGAGAGAGAGAGAGAGAGAGAGAGAGAGATCATGCTGTTAGTATCGGATATTGTTTTTATGTTAATTTATTGGAATGAATGTAATTTATTATCGTGATAGGAAGTGAATTTTTTGATCCTGCTCATAGGAATTTCGAAAATTCTGGGGTGAGTGTGTGGCGTCTGGAGAGTAAAAGTAAATTATAGCACGAATGGAGTCGGTTCAATTCGTGAAATATCGTGTATTCTGCGGGAATGTGATCAGTCTTGTTTGTTCGTATAGAATGGCGACTTGTACTGTAGTGTGCCGTTGTTTTGTGTCTATTCTGTAGTTGACAATCTGAGGTACAAATTTTTGAAAGTCGTCTTAGTTTTCATGTAGGCACAGAGAGCCAGTTAATAAAATGAAAGTAGCAGATCGAGACGCTCTATTGGCTACAGGTTTATAAATACGCCTGAAAGACAAAAAAAAAAAGTTAAAATGCGCAGAGCGCCA